TTATGGGCAACTGGTGATTGGCAGCTTCATCACAACAATATGCCTGCTCATGTATCATGTCTGGTCTAGAGTTTTTTTGGTGAAACATTAAATCACCCTGGTGATTCAGCTCCTCTGCAGCCTAGATTTGGCATCCTGAAACTTCTGGGTGCCAAAACTAAAATCACCTTTGAAAGGGAAGAGATTTCAGAAAGTTGATGAGATTCAGGAAAATACAACAGGGCAACTGATGGCAATTGGGAGACCTGTCAGCATTATGGTCGATGTTTCTTGAATCTTCTTCAATATATGTCTCTATTTTCATATTATATGTCTAGATACCTCTGGACACACCTCATATATGTTCTTTGACTAATCCCCATGCTGGCGATGATGCAGACTAAAGGGAACCCTAGTGCATTGTTGGTGGGAACACAGATTTGTGAAGTCACTACAGAAAACAGTATGGAATTCTCTCAAATAATTAAAAATGGAACTGCCTTTTGACCCAGCAATTCCACTTCTGGGAATATAACCTAAGAATCCTGAAACAACAAGTGAAAAGAATATATGCACCCTATGTTCACAGCAGTACTATTTACAAGAGCCAAGATTTGGAAACAGCCTAAGTGCCCCACAGAACATGAGTGGATTAATAAACTGTAGTCCATTTATACAATGAAATATTATATAGCTATAAAAAAACAAGAAACCCTTACCTTTTATGACAGCATGGATGGAACTGGAGAGTATTATGCTAAGTGACATAGGTCAGTCAGAGAAAAACAACTTACCATATGATTTCAGTCATATGTAGAATCTAATGAACAAAATAAACTAATGAGCAAAATAGAACCAGAGGCATAGAAACACTAAACAGACCGACAGCTGTAAGAGGGGAGGGTGAAGGTAAAGACTAGTTGAAAAAAGATGAAGTCTTTAAAAATTTTTTAAATGTACAGTCATCCCTCACTGTATCACAGTTCACTTATTGCGGCTTCACTGTATCACAGGCTTTAAAAAACCTGCGATACAGTGAAGCCGCAATAAGTGAACCGCGATATAGTGAGGGATGACTGTATACTTCACTGGTGAGTACCTATATAGAATTTTCTATGTTGTTAAAATTATGTAAGTTTAAAAGTGTAGAAGTGTTTAAGAGCATATGAAGTGCTTATAAGAGTGTAGGAAAGGTTAATAAGAGAATGGGAAAGGTTTATAGGAGTGTGGGCAGGGTTTATAAAACCTGAATATAAACAAATAATAAAATAAATATAATACCACTACTTTGCGGATTTTCACTTATTGTGGGGGGCCTCTGGAACATAGCTCCCATGATAGGTGGGGGATCACTGTGTTTTTATTTTAGCCATTTTGGCACATGTGGAATAACATTCACTGTGGTTTTAACTTGCATTTCCTGATAATTAATGATGTTGAACATATTTTCATATGTCTATGGACCATTTAAAATATCTGCACCCTATGGATAGCAAAGGGCCTATTCAAATCTTTTGTGGCATGTTCTTCTGTGTTTCTAGTCTTTTTATAATTGATTATAATGTTTTGTCAGAAACTATATTATAAATGTTTTCTCTCAGTCTGTGGCTTGCTGTTTCACTTTTCTAATGGTGTCTTTGATGAGCAGAAATTTTAAATTATGATGATATATAATTTATAATTTTTAATTTTATGATTAATGCTTCCTAAGTCTTGTTTAAGAAATCTTATCTTCCCCAAAGTCATGGAGATATTCTTTTATGTTTTCTTCGGAAACTTTATAACTTTTTCTTTAATATGTAAAATCATGATCCATCTGAAGTTATTTTTTGTATACGGTGAGAGGTAGAAATCAGATTCTTTTTTTTTTTTGTGTGTGTGTGAGTAATATCTGGTTGCTGCAGCAACATTTATTATAAAGGCTCCTATTTCTCACTGAGTTGTATTAGTGCCTCTGTATTGAACTAACTGACTTCATGAGTAGGTTTACTCTATTGATATATATTTGAATCCTGTCTCCAAAGCCATACTCTCTTAATTATTGTGATTTACTAATTTTGAAAACCAGACACCTTTTGTAAATCCTTATTACTGCTCATCTTCTGTGCACTACTTGAATTTGCCAACCACTTACACTTTTCATGGGAAAAGCATAGGCATTGGAGTCAGACAGATTTGTCTTTAAAATATAGCTCTGTCACCACTTGATGGTGATGTGGGATCAGGGAAAAGTATAAGAAAAAATGTACAGAACTTAGAAATTATGCTAAAGTGTCATGTATGTCATTGTGGAACACTGCTTAATAGATCTATCCAATAATTAATCAATTCTCTTGGAGGGTTACCTTTGTTTGATTTGTTATTTGGCAGGGCTAAGACTGTATAAAATACTTAACTTGTAGATTTTTGTTTTATACAGATGCAGTGTTAGTCTGGTAGAGAATTCCAAAGGCTACAATTTATTTTGATCTGTACAACACAAACCTGTAGGACATTATAACTTAGCAAATTTACTTTAGTACGTCCTTTGTGACTCCCTATGGATACTCAGTTTCTGTAATTTTTCTGTGAACCAGCTTTATGGTCTTGCTGGTTTCCTCACTAAAGAGTTAAATAAATTTGGAGACAAATTCATTCTTTATTTGTATAAGTCGTATCTTTAAATTTGAAAATTCTACTTTGACAGTAGTGAGGATTTAAATGTTATTTCAAAGAGTTATGTGAACTGGGTAACTGGTGATGCCATTATCCAAGATAGATAATACAGAAGAAGTCTTTCAGAAGAAGATAATGATTTTGTTTTGGTATATTAAGTTCTATCAAGATGGAAATTTAGGTTTAAACACAAAGTAGAGGGCTAGAGGGAAAAAAAACAAATTTTGGAGGTAAGAGGTCCAAGGGGCAGTCAGTATGAAAGTATTAAGGACAATTCTGAAAACAAAACCAAAAAGCCTTTAAGAATTGGATCAAGAAAAGCTATCACAGGAATTTAGGGAGGAGTAGTAAAAAGCAGCCACAAGCAATTTTAAGAAGTGAATGGTCAACATGCAGATGTGACCCAGGGGACAACTAGGATGGGAATTGCCAAGATGTGATTGAACTTAGCAATTAAGAAGTCTTTGGTGACTTAGTAAAAGCACTTCCAGTAGAGAGGTAAGGACGTAAGTCAGATTTGCTGTGGGTTGGGAGAAAAAAAAGATATGCAGAAATAGATAATGTAAATATAGATTAATGTTTCAGGAAGTTTGGCTCTGAGACCTAAATCAGATCATCATAATTCACTGCTTAAAACCTGATGATGGATTTCCATTACACTTGAAATAAAACTCATCCCCTCATTATGGCCTATTAGGCTCTATATAATTAAGACTGCTTATCCATCTGACTTCTTGTACCATTTTGACACTTTTTATGCTTTAAATTACTGAATTCTTTCCTTAAATATATCAACCTTGTTCCTATCTCAGGGCTTTTGCCTTTGCCACTTCCTCTTTTTGATATAATCCCCCTTCAGACCTTTGTAAAACTTGCACAACAATGAGGGCATACCTGTCAGATCTCCCTTTAAGAGAACCAACTGTGAGGAGCAGAGCTAACACCTTCTAGCTGCCTTACCTTCAAATCCACTCACGCTAAGGCCACACTTACTTTCAGCTGCACCTTGCTGATGACCAAGTACAGTATATAGATGCCAGAGCTTGGTTATTCCTGACTAACATAGGACTCCTCTACATGGCAATTTTTGTTCTGGGGATCTTTTTTGGCTTAAGATTTTCTCACAACTGCATTGCACTCTGAAGCTTTTCCTACCCAATCCTCCTTCCTTCCGGCTCTCCTTCCCCATGTGTCAGAACTGTATTGTGGTTTGAAGATTCTCCTGCTTTCTGCTTGCCACATCTTTATTCCTCACGGATACATTTCCTAGTCCCTTTCACAACCAATCCTACCTTGTCATCTGGACTTTAGAGGACCTGATCTGACACAGCTGGTAATCATTTACTATCTCAGCTCAAAAGTCATGTTCTCAGAGACCTTCTCAATTTTGACTTAATCCCTGATCAGCTCCTATCTCATTCTCCTATCTTAGTTTCTTCATAGAATTTATTACTGCACATTTTAATTTTTTGAACTTTTTTATGTTCTAAAGTAAATTACAGATGTTTTGAACATTTTACCTCAAAATACTGTACTTTGCATCTCTAAAAAAGAGAACATTCGCATAGATGAACACATGTTATTAGAGTGCACTACAAAATTGATGGTAATTTCTTTATATCATCTTATTCCCTGTGCATATTTAAATTTCCTCACTTGTCTCCATAATGCCTTTTACAGCAACTTTGTCTAAGTCAGTATCTAATCCAGGACAAGGCATTTATCTGGTTATAATGTCTTTTAAGTCCTCTTTAATCTAGGTCAGTCCCTTTTTTCATGCACTAATTTATTGAAGAGAATAACAGTTGTCTCCTACAGAATGTGTTACTTTTTGGGTTTGTTCCCTCATGGTGCCTTTTGTTTTGAAAGTGGTTTCTTTATCCCCTATGTTTCATATAAATGGGAAAGTAAATATTAATATTTAATTAAATTCAACTTAAACATTCCTGGTTAAATGAGGTAAGAAGGTTGGGTATTTCACATTAAATTACAGAAGCAAACACAAAATATCTGGTAATATTCTGGCAATGTTAATTTTCACCATTAAGTTATACTTGTAAAATTACATTTTCTCTCTTGGGAACAAAAAGTCATCTTTTGTGGTGTTACTTTGGAAATATGTGAGGATAACAGTTATCCATCACAAATTAAAGATCCTACAATTTTTTAAATGCAGTTTACTTATCTTCAATCCCATGCTTTTGTGTGCTTATTTATGTTGCTTAATGAGTCTTTGCAATTCAGCAATGTTTCATTTTTATACAGTAAAATCTGTCAATCTTTTCCTATTAAATTATCCTTCCAGGACTGCCATAACAAACCACCACATCCTGGGTAGCTTAAACAACAGGAATTTATTTACTCACAGTTCTGGAGGGTGGAGGTTGAGATCAATGTTCCAGCTGGACTGGTTTTTCTGGAGGCCTCCCTCCTTGGCTTGAAGATGGCTGCTTTCTTGTTGTGTCCTCACATGGCTTTTACTCTGTGTGAGCATATCCTTTATTGTTTCTACCTTGTTTTTAAAATACACCAGTCCTCTTAGATTAGGGCTCTACCATTATGGCTTCATTAAACTCAATACCTCTTTAAAGGCCCTATTTCCAAATAAAGTCGCACTGGGGGTTAAAGCTTCAACATAGGACTTTTGAGGAGACACAACTGAGTTTATAACTTATATAGCATATGGCTTTTGTGTTATATTTACACAGGAATTCATGACTGTAATATTCTAAAAGTACTTCCTCAAAGTCTGTTGTAGTACTTTTAGGACTTTAATTTTATTATTAAATCATTCATCTATTTTGAATTTATTTTGGTGGCAATATGAGTATAGGAACCCACCCTGACCTTTTTACTCATGGCTGCCTATAGGGAACCATTCAACGTGGCGTGGGGAATGTAGCCCTGCCTCTGATTTGGAAAACCTATAGGAAGCAAGGTCGACACACAGGACCCATACCCATGGATAGGTTCTCTCATGGGGAATCAGATCTGCATTGTACCTAAGCTGCTTTGAGGCTTGCTTTTGCTAAAACTCCATCACCCTGAATTGAGGCAGCTATGTTTACTGCATATCTTTAAAGTAATTTCCTAAAATCTATCCTAAACCTCCCAAGGACAAGTGTAACCACTTCAACCACTTTTTCCTTTACATTTGCAAATATCCTTTTTCTTTGTAGTAATTAGCAACTTCCTCTCCTTTGTTATCTGTACAAGGTAACCACCTAAAGTGAACCTGTGCATATTAAATGAGGACCATCCTTGATGTAATGTGTCCAGAAAAGCAATAAAAGATTGTCCAGGCAGGGAGCAGGGCACTCTCTCAGAGAGTGGCCATGCTGTCCCTTTATCTCCACAGGACTTCTGTAGTCCATGTGTATTTGTTCGTCATGTCCATAACACATGCACTCTGCAGGCCAGGGTCCACATCAACTACCCAATGGTCCCAGTATAACTTACCTAACTCTTAGGAGAGAAGCAATAGCCTGGATATAATGTTGCCATAGACTAGATTGGACCTTTTAAACCAGAAAGAAAATCATAATTCTAGAAATGGGACTTATAATCAACAATGAAAAGAAAGCGACAAAATATGTCCTAGATATAAAGCAATAGGAAAGAGAGATTCAATGTATAACTGTCATTATTTCCAGATGACACGATGCTCTATATAGGAAACCCTAAATATTCCACCAAGAAACTACCACAACTGATAAATGAATCCAGTGAAGAAGCAGGATACAAAATTAATATCCAGAAATCCATTGCATTTTTACATGACAATAATGAGCTAACAGAAAGTGAAAGTTTAAAATAATCCCACTCACAATTGCTTCAAAAAGAATAAAATACCTAGGAATAAACCTAACCAAGGCCACCAAAGACCTGTATTTGGAAAATTATAAGACACTGAAGAAAGAAATAGAAGAAGATACAAATAATTGGAAACACATACCGTGTTCAAGGACAGGAAGAACTGACATCATTAAAAGGTCTATGGTACCTAAAGCAATCTAGATTCAACACAATTCCTATCAAGGTTCCAACGATGTATTTCACAGAACTGAGGGGAACAAAAATTTCAAAATTTATAAGGCACCACAAAAGTCCCTGCATAGCAACAGCAATCCTGAGAAAGAAGAACAAAACTGGAAAAATAAAGCTACCTAATATCAAACAATACTATAAGGCCATAGCAATCAAAATAGCATGGTACTGGCATAAAAACAGACACACAGATCAATGGAACAGAATAGAGAGCACAGAAATAAACCCACATCTTTATAGTCAATTAATATTTGGCCAAGGAAGCAGGTACATACAATGGGCTAAAAACAGTTTACTCAATAAATGGTGTTGGGAAAATTGGACAGATATGTGCAGCAAAATGAAAATAGACCAGCTTCTTACACCACACACAAGAATAAATTCAAAACTCATGAAAGACTTAAATATTAAACCTGAAACCATAAAATCCTGAAAGAAAACATAGGCAGTAAATCTCAGACATTGCTCGTAGCAATATTTTATGTGCTATATCTCCCCAGGCAAGGGAAACAAAAGAAAAATAAACAAATGGGAATTCATCAAGCTAAAAAGGTTTTGCACAGCAAAGGAAATCAACAAAATAAAAAAAATCCACAGAATGGGAGAACATGTTCACCAATACATCTGATAAGGAGTTAATATCCAAAATTTATAGAGAACTTACAAAACTCAACACCCAAAAAACAAACAATCCAACTAGAAAATGGGCAAAGGACCTGAATAGACACTTCTACAAAGAGGATATACAGATGGCAATAGACATATGGAAAGATGCTCGACATCATTAGTCATCAGAGAAAGGCAAATTAACGAGACATCATCTCACATATGTATGAATGGCTATTATCAATAAATCAGCAAACAACAAATGCTGGTGAGAGTGTGGAGAAAAGGGAACCCTTTTGCACTCTTGGTAGGAATGCAGACTGGTGCAACCACTGTGGAAAGCAGTATGGAGAGATCTCTGAAAATTAAGAAAATGGACTTGCCTTTTGACCCAGTGATACCACTTCTGGGAATATATCCAAAGAAACCCAAACCACTAATTTGAAAGACTATAAGCACCCTTAAGTTCATTGAAGCATTATTCACAATTGCCAAGATATGGAAGTAACCCAAGTATCCATCAGTAGAGGAGTAGATAAAACAACTATAGGATATTTATACAATGGAATGCTACTGAGCCATAAAAAGAATAAAATTTTACCCTTCGCAACAGTATGGATGGACCTGGAGAACATTATGAATGAAATAAGCTAGTCAGAGAAAGACAAATATCATAAGATTTCACTCATATGTGGAATCTAATTAACAAAGTAAACTAACAAGCAAAATAGAGACAGAATCATATAAAGCAGGATGACAGCTAAGAAGGTAGGTGGTGGGTTGGGAGTTGAGGGATTGAGCAAAAAGGAAAAGAACTCATGGACATGGAAAGCAGTATGGTGATTGCTTGGGGGAGGGGGGTAAAAGGGGACTAAATGGTAAAGGAAAATATACAATAAAAAATAAACTAAAGAAAAAGAATGGAATTCTAGATGGATGTGAAGAGCAACACAGATGTGAAGATACGGAGGGGGAATCTGATGGAACTGAAGGGCAAGTGTTACCTAAAATCTTTTAAATTGACCTCTTCTCATTTCTAACCTTTATTATACCAGATCCTAGAGTCTCTCTGTGACTCTGCTAGGCAGACTTACTCTGAAGCTTTAGCCACTTGCTGTAAATTCTGAGATGCCACCTTGATGATCTGTCTCATTTGTCAAGACTTCCATATCTTGTTTGATGTTTCAGGTATTTTTTGAAATACTTTGTCTACCAGTGATACCTCTCCATGCCATTTGAGTATTAGAGATTAATTTCTTAACTATTGTTTCATGAAGTTTTCAGGAGGAAGACTAAATAAATACTACTACTACTACTACCCTGTTAAAATAGAAGTTTTATCTACTTTTATTTCTGGCTCTGAACTTAATATTTTGATTATTGTAGTAACAAATACATTGTAATACCCTTTACAGCAATTTTTGTCTTTTGTAATGTGCTATCAATTTTTGTATTCCTTTCACAATTTTGTAAGTTATTTTTATGTAATTATTCTTTAGATAATGTGTAATTTTGTTAAAGGAAAAATGTACACATTTTAATTTTGATTTTATGAAATTTATAAATTAAGGAAACAATCAGTAATTTTTACAATATTGAATCTTCCCAACCAGAATAAAAAGCTTCTTTGTCAATTGATTAAATTCTCATGCCCTTTAGTCAAATTTTCTACCTACTGATCCTATAGTTTTCCTGTTAAATTTATATGTAGAAATTTCATATTGCTATTTTGTAAATGCTCATTGATTCTGCAAATATTTTGATAATCATCTATTTTATGGAATTGTTTTTATCAATTCCAAAAGTTAGATACTCTTGGATTTTTCAAAATCGTATCGCACATGTAATGTTAATTTTATATAGCATTTCTTTTTCTTGTTTAGAATTTCAAATATAGTGTTTATAACTGCTTTAATTATGTCTGTGGAAGAGCTTCTAAACACGTCTTATCTTTAGTTATAGATGACATGACTATACATTTTAGCAGAGTGCTTGGTTTTACAGCTAGGGTTTCTTTCCCAGCTTCCCTTGTAGCAAGGGGTGGACATGTCACTAAGTCTTATTAATAAGTTATAAGCAGAAGTGATGCAAGTAACTTCCTTGTCATTCCCTTTACAGGTTATATATCCCGTTGAAAACATTTTAGTTTAATATTTAAAATCTATTTTACCAAATTATTTGCCCATCAAATCCATTCTTCATGAAATGACTATAAATATCTCACAAAATTCTAGTGTTTCATGGAACAGGATTGAGAAACACTAATATTTTACTAAGTATATTGCTCAAGTTTAAAAAGTACCTTTTTAAACCTGGTTTAATAATATATACTTTTATTAGAAATGGGTACTGAATACTTTCTAGTGCCTTTTTGGATACTGAGATGATCTCCTTGACTTACCCTTCTAATGATTAATAAATTTATATTTTGAATTATCCTTGCATTTTAATAAACTCTGAATAAGCTAGATGGTTGTATGTGTGTGTGATACAGAACTTTGACATTATTTTTTCAGTCCTATCTATAGTTATTGACCTAATTAGTTTTCTGGGATTTTTGAGTCCTTTTCTTTGTTTTTCTCGAAAAGTGACTATTTTGATATTACTAGTTATTGGAAGTATTTAAAAAATTTTAAAGGCACTTTAATAATTTTAAAGCTTCCCTTTTAAACTACCAACGTTGTTAATGGCAACATTCCCTTTCTTGTTACACTTCTGTGACTCATTTTTTTTGGTATTGATAAAATCCAGATTAATATGAGAATACCTCATCAAGTTATTATTTTAACAATTTTCTTTTAAAACTTGTTTTATAATTCTTTTGTTATCTTTAGTAATTTCTCCTAGTTTCAATTAGTTTATTTTGTTCTTCATTTCTTACTATTTCAAATAAACACTTGGCTTTCATTTTCTTAGTAATTTTCTTTGCTTGCTTGGTCTATGCCTTACATTTTTTTCATTAATTAATTAATGTATTTACTTATTTTTAAAAGACTTTATTTATTTTTAGAGAGTGGACGGGAAGAAAGAGAGGGAGAGAAACAGCAATGTGTGGTTGTCTCTCCTGTGCCCCCTACTGGGGACCTGGCCCACAACCAAGGTATGTCCCAGGACTGGGAATAGAACCATCAACACTTTGGTTTGCAGGCTGGCACTCAATCCAGTGAGACATACTAGCCAGGGCTTTACAATTTTAATATATAGTTTTTTTTATTGTCATTACATTCTATTGTATAGAGATGGTCCCTAAAATGTTGCAATTTAGGTTCAGAGTTTATGATGGTGCAAAAGTGATATACATTCAGTGGAAACCATGCTTTCAATCTTGACCTTTTCTGGGCTAGCAATAAGCATACTTTCTCAAGAGGCTAGGTGGTGTCAGAAAGCCACACAGTTCCTAGTCAGCCACACAATGAGGTCAAACAGTTGATACTCTACAGTGTATCTTGTTGCCAGGCTTTTTGGATATTCTCTTCCGAGTACACTTAAGGTAGCCTAAGCTATAAACTATGATCTTCAGTAGGATAAGTGTTATTCAATGCATTTTTGACTTAAAAGGTATTTTCAACTTACAGGTTTCTCTGGATGTAAACCCTTCATGAGATGAGGATCATCAGTAATTGCAATTTTACTTTCCTTTTAAATTCACAGGTGATTTATAAAGGTGCTTTTCTAAATGTATTTCTTTACTTGTTTTTGCGGGGGCTACACTTTAGCTATTAATTTTTAGCTATATTCAATCACATTTTTATCCATCCAAATTTAGCTCTTCTTTCTAGGCCTATCAAACATATACTCGCCTCCCAAAAGTCTTTTCTCTGCCTGCTCGATTTCTAAACATTTATATGTATATATGTTTACACTTATATAGGTGTATGTTTAAAGTGATATGTATATGTATCACCTTAGGGTTATACCAGTATCTTTCTCCTTCTCTTGCTACACCCTCACCCTCAGGCTATTTTATTCGTTTGAGATTAGCAATTTAGTTCAGTACTTTGTGAGTTTTTGCAGCAAGATTCCATTCAATGAACAAATATTTGAGCACCTATGCACTACACACTCGCATTAGGTACTAGGAAGAGCATTCTTGGCCTTCAAGGAATGCAGGCTAGCAGGAGAGATGAGCAAGTAAATATATTAAATACCAAGTGAGTTCCAAGAAACATGGTTTGCTAGTGGAGATAACATCATGTGTATTTTCCAGCTTACAGCACTGGCAAATAAAGGTCAAAAGAGAACAAATCCGTTCCAAGATGGAAAGGGAGCAAAGTGCGGGTTAGGTACAGCTTCACCTTAAATAAACTAATAATCCAACCCAGTGATTATTCATGTACACATAATCCACAGCACCTGCCTCAGCACCACTAAGTTGGTAGAAAGAGGGGGGGGGAGCAGATTCATGCCTACTGGCACAGAAATTGGGGAAAGGGCCATTTAAATCTGCTTTTCAAAGATCCCCCCTACCCCGTATATTCAGACCCTCCAGGTTTACAATATACAGAAAAACGTAATTTCGCAGACCTCCTCCCTCAGCTACTCTCGCTAGCCGGAGGATAGCCTGCGGCGCGTTTTTCCTCTGAGCCCCCGTCCCTCTCTCTTCCCTTCAAGCCACCAGTCTGACCCTTAGCCCACAGGCGACAGACCTCCTCACGTGAGCCGAGATGCAACCAGCCGTCGAATCCCCACACTAGGACTCAAATCCTTGCTCCGCAAAGGATTCGGGGAAAACGCCACGGGCCAATCTACGGCGCAGAAGGGTAGAGCGGTTTCTTTGATAGACGTGAAATATGCCCAATGAGAGAAGAGGACTAAAGAAGCTTCCGCCGCGACGGGCAGGGCTCGCACAATTTCAACCAATCTAGTTCAGAAGTGTCTATCTTGTGGGAGGTCCTTGAGGCCGCTGAGGTCGCTGTTGTCTGTTGAACGGCTTGTGCAAGTGGTGCTACCTTCAGTAGGGGGTTGAAGTCGTTCTTGGGAAGAACGTCTCTGCCCGAAGAGAAAATGAGTTTAGCTCTGAGGTCGGTAATGAGGAGGCGGCAGTGCTCTCCACACCCCGGCAGCGGGTCCCAGGGCGGGTGTTGAAGGGAGGCAGTTTGGGGCCCAGGTGAGAAGGGGATGCAGTTTGAGACCAGTGAGAGGAACCTCGGCCAATGTGTTCTCGGCCCGCACTTTTAATTCTAGGGGACCAGGCGTGCCGCAGGTGATGAACCCGTGCTTTGCAGCTGAGGTTGCCATACCTATCAATGCTTTGGGCTTGGAGCAAGTGAAAGATGGGCTATTTTGTTGCAAATAGGCTGTAAACTATCGCGATGTTTTTCGAGGAATCAGGCCATGGAGCATCCCTTGGTTCAGTTACTCCCTCCGGTTTTACGGCCACAACCTCAGCTGCGGTGCTCGTGACATATTTTCTGTAAATTTTGGGAATAATACTAAACTCCTCACCCTTCTCCCGGGGTCTTGGTTTATGGTATTCATAGAGACGCAAATTAAGAAAATGTGTTAAGTTACTTTATCTCACAGTTCGACCTCTAATCCAGTTTCTCGCTTCCCCAGCCTGATCTAGATGTTTTACTTTAACTCCGTAGGGGCACCACTTTAAAAAAGGATGTGGTTGGTCACTTGCTGCTCAGTTTTGGTCTTGGCCACTCGGAGTCGTGGAAAGAGAAATAACTGACCCCGGGAATGTCCATGTTTGTCTGCAGTCTCTTGTGAAAGACCTAAGCTTTATCCTATTTCTTCTGGCCATCTCTTGTTTTGTTTTGTTTTGTTTTGTTCGTTTGGTTTTGGTAGAGTATCGGAGAACAAAACTTCAATTGCAAGTAGACAACATAATAAGATCAACTGGGTTTTATAGTTTAAAGTTTTACAAAATTTTCTGTTTCAAAAATTATACGTGTTGAAGCAGCCCCGTTTGAAAATTTGGAGAAGACATTCCTAGCTTTTAAAATACATTTTAAAAAAAAGGTTTTCCAGAGTTTATGAGAAATTAAATATGAGTTTTCATGCTAGGAGAGATTTTTTTAAGACCATTGACTCTTCACATTGTTATATGAAATTAGCACAAATATGAGATACCTTTTTGATGTTTAATAGTCATGATATGTTTGGACTCAATATTTTGGCTGATTTGCTAATATCACTGGAAGAAATAATAGAAGTGCCAAACTTTTGGAAATAAGTAATCTAAGAACATTTCTAACCCATAATGCTAAACTTTTTTGTAACTTAATTGATAAATTTATTTTTGGTAGTAATTTTGATAAGTCAGTTCTAAAACACTATCAAAAGCAAACCAAATATATAGTGATTGTCAGTTATGAATTTTACTTTTAAATAAACATATCGCAGAATGATGTGAACAGTAAGTATGGACGCTTCGTTTTGGGGGAACATTTTTGACATAATGTAATTTATCTTAACAGTTCCTGCTTCTTCCACAGCAGTATTAGTGGGAATAAATACAAGGCTAGAAGGAAGGAACATTAGGTCCTCGTTTTTTTTGTTTTTTTTTAAATAACCTATAACACTTCCCAGTTTCGGGGAGTGCAAATTTATAGCAGCTTGAACTATGCAATGTAAGGAAAATTTCTTTGAAGCATGTAAGGAAAAATTCTCTCTCAAAAAATACGTCTTTTAAAGAAATGTAGAAAATTCACTGACTAAGGTTTATGGTTGCATTTTTGAAATCTTGTTTTAATCATTTAGAGACATAGGAAAATAGAATTTAGGTGGGGTAAATAGACTTTTTTCTTTTTATTTCATAGAAGTGAAATTGTAGACAAAACAAAGAGGAAAAAAAGAAGAGAACTCTCTGAAGAACAGAAACAAGAAATTAAAGATGCTTTTGAACTGTTTGACACTGACAAAGATGAAGCAATAGATTATCATGAATTAAAGGTAATAGTATACTTTAAAATGCCATTTATTTTGCTCTGGCTGGTGTTGGCTCATTGGATTGAGTGTCCACCTGCAAACCGAAGGGTTGCCGGTTTGATTCCCAGTCAGGGCACATGCCTGGGTTGTGGGCCAGGGCCCCAGTAGGGAGCATGTGAGAGGCAACCACACATGCTGTTTCCTGCCCTCTCTCCCTCCCTTCCTCTCTCTAAAAATAAATAAATAAAAATTGTAAAAATAAATAAAAGTGTTATATATTTTTCCTGATTAAATGATTTACATGTTGGACAGTTGGTTGAAATACATTTCTAAATAATTATTTTAACTAAACTGGTTTTAGAAATATGAAACCATTTCTAACATTCACAGTTAAGTGTGATAATGAAGTTGAATAGTACTCTGAACATCTTTTTAGAAACTCCTCTTCACATGGTAAAATGAATAGTATATTGTTTTATCATTATTTATTTATTTATTTTTAATTCTGGCCCAAGGATTTTCATTGATTAGACAGACAGAGAGAGAGAGAGAGAGAGAAACATCTATGTGAGAGAGAAACATCGATCTGTTGCCCTCCCCTATCTGCCCTGAATGGGGATTGAACCTGCCACCTGGGTGTGTGACCTCGCTGGGAATCAAGCCCACAACCTTTTGGTGTATATAGGATGTTGCTCCAACCAACTGAGTCACCTGGCCAGGGCTAAAATGAATAGTTTTTTAAAATGTAAAAATACATTCCTATGGAGGGGCTTATTTTACATTCACATAATTAAATTTTTTCAAACTACAGGATTTAAATAGCTCTTACTATATTCTTTGGCAACTGACTCTTTTTTTCAGTTGGGGAGTCTTATTTGTTTTTTCATTTGAACATGTTTGTAAACAAAATCTCAACCTACTTTCTGTGGTTCAAACAACATTGATGAATGATGTTGATACTCTTCTAATAGGGGAAAATGTCAACTTTAAGATCTGGAATTATTTACAAAGATACAGAGGGAAATTGGTGTTTAGGATAGTATGGATCTGACATTCAACACAATGAGAAAAGTAGCTATTTTGTAGCTTGTTGTTTCTCTTTTTCCATTTTTTCCCCCAGCTACCCAGCCTTTATCAGTGTTTTCTTTATAATGTTTCTTTCATTTGTGGTCATTTTTATGATCTTGGATTGGGATCTTATGTCATACCTGGATCTTCATAAGTGGTTTCATCTTGTGCATTCATCTAGTTCACCTTGTACATTCATCTTATAAAATCTTCCCCCCATATTGTGCATTGCTTGTAAACCTTTACTAGCTTCTCAGTGTACACTGCATAAATTTCAGATTGCTTTGGTTTTCACTGACTGTTCTCCACACTTACTACTATCTACTTCTCTTGTTTTGTAACTGCTTGTTTCTACCTGAGCTCTTCCTATTCAGGTAAGATAAACTGCTCTGCTCACTGTCCTCAAACTTAGTCACATTTTGGTGTCTTAATACTAGTCATTCTTTCCTAAATACTCTTCCATTCCAATTTATCCATATATCAAGGAACAGCTTGAATCTCTACAAAGTAATATTTCTTTAACCAATAACATATCTCTTCTTTATACTATGGCAACAAGGTTTTCTTTCTCTAAAGTCAGGCTCATGTACTACCTGATTATGTAGAGTCTGCTGATAGTTCTTATTTTAATGTTTTTTAAATATCTTACAGTATATTACTTTTTAATATTTATGCTATGCTTTTTTTCCATTTTGGTGGTTAATCCTTTGAAAACAAATAACTTGTTATTAACATCTGTGCGTTAAGTCAGTGCATTGTATGATATATTCCATAAACACTCATTGATTGGTTTGTCATATAAAACGGGTATATAAATTTCACAAATTGCCATTTATTGCAATAGTGAAGAAAAACTACCTCTATTTTGGAGATATAAAACCTGCAAACAACTTATATGTTTTATTAATGTGCCATTATCATCTCTTAAATTATAAAAATTTATTTAAGAGTTTGAAATTAGTTTTTTGAAAGAATGTTTTATAATTTGCTTTTCCCTTTTAATCCAAAAGGTGGCAATGAGAGCCTTGGGATTTGATGTAAAAAAAGCTGATGTACTGAAGATTCTTAAGGATTATGACAGAGAAGCCACAGGGAAAATCACCTTTGAAGATTTTAATGAAGTTGGTGTGTATTTAATAGTCTTTGTATCTAGCAGTTGTTAGGAAATTATCTGGTCGATGTCAGTATTTTTTAATTCTCTGGGTTATAGAATTTTGTTAATGAATATTGTTGTATATGTGGATCTTATGGGTGTTTTGGGGGTTACTCTTTATGTTGATTTTCAAAGAAAAAAGATTTATAGCTTCACTATAGGGTTTATTATTTTGTTTTTATCTTGAAGATTGTAACTTGGGAACTGTCGTGTAGTTTTTTTAATAGAAAAATGCCTTCCCAAGTACTGTGTGTTTATGACAAAACTAAAAGGGTGGTCAAAAAATAATATTTTCCAAGTGCAACAGAAAATTTTGGTACCTTTTTGTTTGGAAAATATTTACCAAGAGCATTTGTTGTGTGATTTTTGCTGGCAATGTGGGAAAAGAGGAGACCTGTACCATTTGCTGTCTTTGGCTATAGATAAAGTGCATACGTTCAGGTTGACAAAGCTTATGACAAAGCTTGACATATTCTTGATGACCTTGATCTTGGTGAATAAAGTCATTTATTTAAATTTGCCAGTGGGGAGAGAATTGTAGTAAGAGAGGCAGTTGGCAGCCTGGAAGCAGAAAACATTTTAGAGTAACCAACTGAAGATAATGTGTCAGTGAGGGCTTAATATGGGTAAACTTTTGTGTAGTTGATTTTAGTGAGTTATTTATAGTATATATATGTATATATATGGTCTGTCCAGAAGGTATCCAGCCATGTAATATGAAAAATAGAGACACTTATTGAAGAAGACACGAAGTACAAGAAACATTGTGCATAGGACAGTGCTGCTTCAGTCCCCTTCAAAGTAGGCACCTTGGGACCTTATACAGTTCTCCCAGTGTATCTTCCATTATTCAAAACACTTTGCAAAATCCTTTGTTGGAATTGCCATCAGCTGCCCTTTTGTATTTTCCTCAATCTCATCAACTTTCTGAAATCTCTTCTCTTTCAAAGGTGGTTTTAGTTTTGGGAAAAACCAGAAGTTGCAGGGTGCCAAATTTAGACTGTATGGGGGCTGAGTCACCTGGGTGATTTGATGTTTTGCTAAAAAACTCTGTATGAGACATGATGCATGAGAGGGCACATTGTGTTGCTGAAGCTACCAATCACTCGTTGCCCATAACTGCAGCTTGACTCAACCATGTAAATCGTTTCTGTGGAGAAAAGTTCAAGCTTAACGCAAAAGTTGATAAAGATTCATTGTTCTACTCAATCAGTCATTTTGAGTGCCACAGCCACACAGTATACAAGCTCAATGGCTCTACTGCCCCCGCTGACTAGTACACTGAAGCCATCACTGTTCTTCCACACACATTCCAGTCTACTCTCCTTGGCTGCTAGGTTACATCAATGTTGCACAAACTGTTCTTGTTCTATTAACAATGGCTGGACTTTTTCTAGATAGACACCTTATATTTTTGAGTCCTCTATTCTACTGTATACATAACTGACTCTTTTGGAAAAGAGGATTCTGGAATGCAAAGACTTTGGTATTATGACTTATACTGCCTAGGATTATTCTCATAGAATTTTTGCATATTTAGTTTGTTCTTATATTTGTATTTTAAGTATATTTTATTGATTATGCTATTACAATGGTCCCGTTTCTGCTCCCCTTTATCCCCCACTGCCCTGCACTCCTCCTCCCTCCAGCATCCCCCCCATCGTTGCTTAGTTCATGTCCATGGGTTGTACATATAAGTTCTTTGGCTTCTCCATTTCCTATACTATTTTTAACATCCCCTTCTATTTTGTGCCTACCAGTTATGCTTATATCCTGTACCTTTTTCCCCATTCTCCCCACTCCTTCTCTCCCCTGATAACCCTCCATGTGATCTCCATTTCTGTGATTCTCTTCCTGTTCTCATTGTTTGCTTAGTTTGTTTTCGTTTTAGTTTTAGTTTTTAGGTTCAGTTGTGACTTTATTGTCAATTTACTGTTTATAGTTTTGATCTTTATCTTATATAAGTCCCTTTAACATTTCATATAATAAAGGCTTGATGATGATGAACTCCTTTAACTTGACCTTATCTGGGAAGCACTTTATCTGCCCTTCCATTCTAAATGATAGCTTTGTTGGATACAGTAATCTTGGATATAGGTCCTTTCCTTTCATGACTTTGAATACTTCTTTCCAGCTCCTCCTTGCATGCAAGTTTTTTTTTGTTTTTTTTTTTTAGGAATCAGCTGACAGTCTTATGGGAACTTTTTTGTAGATAACTGACTCCTTTTCTCTTGCTGCTTTTAAGATTCTCTCCTTATCTCTAATCTTGGGTAATTCAATTATGATGTGTCTTGGTACATTCCCCCTTGGGCCCAATTTCTTTGGGACTCTGAGTTTCCTGGATATCCTGGAAATCTATTTCTTTCACTAGATGGGGGAACTTTTTCTTCATTATTTGTTCAGATAAGTCTTCCATTTCTTGTTCTTCCTCTTCTCCTTCTGGAACTCCTATGATTCAGATGTTGGAAAATTTTAAGTTGTCCCAGTTAAAATGAGGTTCCTAAGCCTCTCCTCATTTTTTTTGAATTCTTCTTTCTTCATTCTGTTATGGTTGAATGTTGATTTCTTCCTTTTGTTCTAAATCATTGATTTGAGTCCTGGTTTCCCTCCCTTCACTGTTGGTCCTGTATAGTTTTCTTTATTTCACTTTGTATAGCCTGCACTTCTTCCTTTATTTTGTGACCATACATTATCATTTCTGTGAGCATCCTGATTACCAGTGTTTTGAACTCTGCATCTATTAGCTTGGCTGTCTTCTTGTTAATTAGTTCTTTTTCTGTAGTCTTGATCTGTTTTTTCATTTGGGCCATATTTTTTTTGTCTTGGTGCATCAGCCTGGATGAATGTTTCTACTTTAACTACTTGGTTGTTGGACTTCCATATACTTTGATTTCTGGCAGTTCTGGTTGTTTTTTGTTTTTAAATTGGTTTTGTCCTTCTTTTGGTTGTGCAAGGAAGCTAAGCATATCTATCTATGCCTCCATCTTGGCTGGAAGCCTCTATAATTGGTTTTGTTTTTATTAATTTTCTACATTATGGTACCACTTTATACGGGTCATAATATAACCATATTATATAGTTATTTTTAGAAATTTTTTAAGTTTGGGAACAAATTCAATTATATTCACACACAAACCTTTTATTTTAAATATTCAGCAAGAAGCAATATGAGAATAAAAAAGAATGAATATTAGTACATATGAAAAAATAGAATCATATCTTGTCATTCATATTTTAAAATCTGGAAATTCAAACCAAAAGTGAAGAAGAGGGAAGTTAAAGGATAAATCTAAAAGAGAAAGAAAGCACAGCACAGAAGATTCCCAATTTATGAACTAACGTGACTGGTTAGAGAGCTATCTCGTTGTCCCTTTGAGGAGAGTATTTCTTCTCTCTAACTTGTAGAATTATTTTTTGAGAAACAGGAGGGAGCCATCTCTATTCTCTCAGTATCAAAGTGCTCCTGGAGTTTATGATTTTAGTCTAGGATTTATTTATAGAAACAAAGTGTTAAGATATAGGGGAAATGATATTATTAGGAAAGAGCTATAATTCAGGTACATTTGGTACGATGCAGTGGTTCAGCATTGGTGATTTAGTACTAGATTGCCTGACCTCAAATCTTGATTGTGCCACTTACTAGCAGTGTTACTTTTGGTAATTTTACTTGGTTTTCTACCGTAATGTAGATAGTTGTACTGCCTCATAGGGTTCTTTTGAAGAATAAATGCATTAATAATATATAAAGTCCTAAGTGCTACTAAGTATTTGTTGTTATTAGGTATTTGTTATTATTATTACTTTAGAAAGAGTTTTTGTTTTATTTGTTTTAATGGCTGGGAATAATCATATTACATCACTGGAACATAAAAAGTATTCTGCATTTATTTATAGTTTTCCGATTACCTTTTTTCATAGTTGTGGGCTATTTTAAGTAGTATATCATCATTAATACTTTTACTAAATATTATTTCATCTTGAGTGAATATAGTTTTTGTAAGTGTGATTTTATTAGCAGTTGAAGCCAGAGTTCCATGCCCTCCATCTTTCTGTGTTACTAGTAGAGCAGAAATACTGGATCCCTTATAGAATAAAAGCCCATGGCTGAATTTCAGCTCTTCAAAGATTGACCTTTTGACAGGCTCAGCACAACACTTTAGCTGTGTCCTAAGGCTACCTATTAAGAATACTAGCTGTCAGATAAAAATTTATTAGTGATTGGGTATCAAACAGTTAGGAACTTTGTATTCTCCCTATTTGTTAATGATTCTTGAAAAATAACTGATCACAGATGCAAGAATATATGTTATATCTTGGGACAAGCAACTCCGGATCAGAACATTTGAGTCTTAGCTTATGTACCATTTATTACTGTTTGAGGATACTGTTGTATGATATTTCTGGATGAAGTCTGACACTTAACTGTATTCTTCCCAGTACTTTGGAAAAGTATTAAAATATATTTGAGGTAAGTTTAGAATATAGACAGCCTGTGGCTAGTGAGTGTAATAGGTGTTTTTAGGAATCGATGCTTTAAAATAAGACCATGACCAGTGAGATGTTAGTATTCCATCTATTTTTTGGCACATACCACTTACTGTTTCATTGGCTGTATAGAATAGGATATTATTATTTTTGTTTTGCATATTTAACATATATTTACTGAATTTTTTGGCATTAGACACTGGTGGGGTGAGGGAGGGAAATAATTAAAGTTATTAAGAGGTTCTTCTTTCAAGGAGCTTACTAATTATAGGTGACTACAAGGTATGGTGTCACATGGTAAATTATAATTTTGTCTAGGGCAGGAGTTGCCAAATTATAGCCCTAGGCCAAATTCAGCTGTTGCCTGTACACTGCCACATCTGTTGTTTTATGCTTTTTGCTTTTGTGCCACCAAGGCAGAGTGAGTAGTTTAGACAGACACTGTGCCCTCTGCCCGCACCCCCCCCCCCAAAGTCTGTAATATTTACTGTCTGGCCTTTAACAGGAATGATTTGTTAATTTCTGATTGGAGCAAGTGAAGACTTTGCAGAGGGGATTTTTAGTTTAAGCCTTTGGGAATATGAGAAGGATATCATCCCAAGGAGAAGGTTGTGGGTGGAGTAGAGGGAGGCATTCAGGAAGAGAAAACAAAGAGTGGTACCTTTGGGAAACTAGGTAGTTCCCTGCTCTAGAGCTTAGAGAAATGACTGAAGAGGTAAGATGGAGTGAGATAGGTAAAGTCTTACATAACATGTAGAATTGGACTTGGGTCAGCAGAGGATCATTGTTATTAATTTATAAAGAAGAGTAAATGATAGGTTTTATTTAAAAAGATAAGTTCGTTGAGAGTATTAAAGATGAGTTGGAGGGAAGAGAGACTGCAGACTAAAAATAATATGTTTTATGCTGAAGGTGGTGGGCATGAAAAGGAATAATAAGTTTAAGAGTAAAAAGGTAAGTAGCATCCTCAGATCTCTAGGATCTGATCACTGATTAGGTTTATGGGATTGAAAATTTCCAGCCTTTCAAATATCGAAACTGTCTGTTAGCAATGATCTCATCCGTTTGTGGTGGGTCATTGACAGCTGTCTTGGTGATAGTGGAAGGAGTTTTGACTCCAAAATGTTGAGTTTTTACTAACTGGTATTTTTGCAGAGAAAAAGTGAGGTATAATAGTTGAAGCTATATTTCTAACTTTACCTTTAATGATTTTTGATAAACTTTAATGTTATGTTTTTAAATTTGTTGTACTGTAAGTGATTTTTACAAAGTGTAAGGTCTATTATTTTAAGGAAGTACATTTCTGATAGTGTAATTAAATCATTTGAAAAGAGTTACATGGACAGAAATTTGTGAAATACCATAGACTCAACCCACCTTAACTGCCTGCATGTCATTTGACTTATTTTCATGGAAAGAAAATGTATTTCTTATAATTAAATTCTATTCTAGAACAGGCATAGAACATGAAGGCATGGAGAGTCACCATAAAGTTTAATATTTTAGCTGTCCAGAAAGGTGGGTATTTATGGTTCCCAAGGAAAGTTGCATTCTAAGACAAAGTATTGATAAAAGATTATGCAAACACATAGTCTGAAGTAACTAACACAATTAAAGCACTGGTAGGAAAAGAATTTATATATCTTGAAGCCCCATCTTTTCCTCAGATCACCCTTTTGCTTCTTTAAGTACATTAATACTTGAAGCAAGCTGCTTTTTTGGTTCACCTGTCATGTTAACTATTTAATTGGTGACAAAAATTTTTTAACACTTTTTTTTCCTTGTCCTGCTTTTTGGTGGGACTAAATTCAAAATAAGTTGAGTATGAGCCATAGAGCTAAGTGTGGTATTTTATTTTGGTGTTATGGCTGTATATATGCCAATTCCTTTTTGACTGAATATTTATGAGCTTTTATGATTTGCATACTTATAATAATATACTTCAATTAGTTACTTGGTAGACTTTGGATAAAACTAATGGATAAAAGAAAACTATTGAATCTATGTATAGATGATTTAACATCATTATCTTGAATAAATAGGTGCTTATTCTAAAGCTTATTCAAATATGATGAAATAGCAAAATAATAAAATATTGGTGGTTTGAATTGGTTTTTCCTTTTGGGTACATTAAACATTTCTGTACTTTCCATATACAAGCATTTGTGAGTTTTTAATGATTTTGCAAACCTCAATAGGACTGAATTATTTTTAATGACACAGTGAGAGTCATAAATATCTTTCGTTGTAATGATAGACTCACAGAATTACTTCAGAGATTTTACTTAGATATATTTTCAGATTTTTATCTATATACCATAGATTTCTACTTCAGTTTTGTTGTGAGTATTAAGAATGTTAATATTGAAAGTATTGAGTTTACTAAATTATATGTTATTACATTTAGTATATTAAAATGTATTGATACTTTCAGCTATAGAGTTGTGAAATTACTCACTTAACTTTAGTTGCTTATCTGAAATTATTTTGCTTAACAAAATGAGAGCTCTTTTCCAGACCTTTTTTTTCCTCTGCTGTCTTACTGCAATTAGAGTTGATTCTTTTAATAACTACTTATATTTTGGAAAACCAACAGATTCTCCTAGTCATGAAGGTGTCAGTGGGATTTTCAGTGGGACACTGTCTGAGATTGTATCTGTATTAACAATGGCAGTGTGTTTTATTAATTTTTCAGTGTTCGTTTTAGTTGGATTAAATTTGAGGAACAGTTAGTGTTACTATTAAGTTTAGCCAGCAAACATCTTTTATCTAGTTAGTTTTAATTTTTTCGTTGGTACACCATCTCTCCAATTAGGTTATGAACTCCTAGACTAATGGGTAAGTATGGTATAGAATTCCTTTTATTTTGACTTTGTGCAGTACAGTTTTGCTTACTCTTATAATAGGATGAATTATTGATATTGTAAAGGTTAAATTTTAAAATATGGATTTGATTTTTCTGATTTCAGGTTTATCTCTGGCTTTTGGGGCTCTGACTTGGCATTTTATTAATCAAGCTAAATGTTGACAGATTCACAGTTTTACTTCTCATCTAGTACTTAGTTGATTTCATAAATGAATGCCTTTGTGATTGTAAAGGTTAATTAATTTATTTTTTCATGGAGAGGTTGATTTTTAAAAATATTTATTTATTTATTTTTAGAGAGAGGGGAAGGGAGGGAAAAAGGGAGAGAAACATCACTGTGTGGTTGCCTCTCATGTGACCCCTACCGGGCATCTGGCCCACAACCCATGCATGTGCCCTCACTGGGAATTGAACTGACAGCCATTTGGTTTGCAGGATGGCACTCAGTCCATTGAGCCATACCAGCCAGGGCAAAGGTTTATTTTTTATCTTCTATTTTTTTTTTAACTCTAGTGACAGACTGGATATTGGAGAGAGATCCACATGAAGAAATATTGAAGGCATTTAAACTATTTGATGATGATGATTCGGGTAAAATAAGCTTGAGGAATTTGCGACGAGTTGCCAGAGAACTAGGTGAAAACATGAGCGATGAAGAACTTCGTGCTATGATAGAAGAATTTGATAAAGATGGTGATGGAGAAAGTAAGTTTGAGTAAAACATATTCCAGGTATTTCTGATACGTACATCTAGTAAGTTTTTCTAAAACCAAATTCTTTTCAAGTTCTTTTATAGACTATCTAGTACGATTGTTCATCCTGTAATGGTTTTTTTTTCATAAATATTTTATATTTTTGATTTAGAATGAAGCAGGTCTTTGAAAGCAACTATATGGATTGTAATATGAGATTTCACACTTCAAGAAGATAGTTTTCTTTGTGGGTGAAACATCACCAAAATTTCAGCCACTTAGTAAAATTTCAGCTATTAATACCTTCTTCCTCAACATGCATGCACTTCTAAATTTTACTGAGTTCTATTGATTTTGTTCTTCATATGTTCTGAATCCATTTTATATCTTTGTTTACTGCTGGTGACCTAGTTCAGATCCTAATTTCTTTGTAGGCATGTTATCGTAGCCTCATTAATTTCTTGGATGCCTGCTGGGTACTGTGTTGTATGTGCTTATTGGTGCTACACAATAGCAGATGTGGTCTCTGCCCTCACTGACTGAGTAGTCTTTTGTAGCTTCCTAATTGCACTTCATGCCAGTAGGCCTCTGCACTCTTCCTAATTCAGTCTGTTGATAGCATTCTCTTTTTAAAGTACAGGTTTGATGATGTCATTTCCTCCTTCAAACACAATGATTCCTCAGTTCATTGGGCCTAAAGTTCAAAGCCCTTTTATGGTCTGTTTTACCTTAAGTATCTAGTTTTACTTCCCACTTTGTAGTCTCCCACTTTTTTGCTTTAACCTTCACCTCCCATACATACACCCTTTGACAAAATACATTCCGTTGTGAAAACACTGTTTTATGCTGTGCCTTTTATCATTCCATTCTTTAATCCTAGAATATTCTAACTGCTAATTTTTGTCTGCTAAAATGTTAGTTGTTCCCTCAGGTACATTTTAAACTTTTATTTTTTTCTCAAAATTCTTTCCCAATGGTCTCTGTATGAATTATGAGACTTTCCTTAGGGCCTATAGTATTTAGGAACAAATTATTTTGACACTTCATGCACTGCCTTCTATTCTATACATGTATATATCCAATTCTGTTGTAAGCCCCTTAAGAGCAGTATGGAATCCTACAGTGTGAAAGGCCTGAGACTTTGGAATCAGGCCTGCATTTGAATGGAATTTCTACAATTTACTTTGTTGCTTTGTAACTTTATGTAAGTTTTCAACATTTGTTGAGTCTTAGTTTTCCCATTTATAAAAATGAGAATGATAATATTGCATAGGGTTGTTGTAAGTATTAAGTGAAGATAGTTGATGGTGCCTTAGCATTAAGGATAAGCTTGTTTCCCTTTTTTTTTGTCAGGGCTAATATTTTGCATTTTTGTAACATAATGAGTGCTCTAATATTTGCTGACTTAAAGCCCTGAGCTGGAGTGTGTTTAGTAGATATATATTGATATAGTACCCACTATACATATATACTAAATATATACATGTATTACCTTGGCAATACTGGCATGCTTTAATAAGGAGGTAAGACAATAGCAACTATCAGTTCAGGTTTGTAGATTGTCCTTTAGAATTGTACATTATTGTGCTTTCTCATATATATATGAATATTTGAGAGTTACAAATATTTTCTATTTTTTAATACCAGCTTTTTGAAGGGGGTTGATAAGTTACTTAATTTTGAAACAAAGATGACTAAAACTTGAGGAAATTTAAATGATTTCTTAATATTTTGGATTTAGAATCTACTGCCTTAATATGTAAAAATTTTTTTTAATATGTAAAATTTTTTGTGTGTTTTCCTTAGTTGTTGTTACCCTAAATTAGCTTTAAAGGAACTCTTCTGTAAAGGTACTATGATCAGTGACATAGAGAATCTTGATATATCTATTTCATACATCTTTAATAATGTGTCAGTTATTAACTTCATTTGACTTTAGAAGAAAATATTAATTAGGAATCTGTCTTTTAAATTAAAACTTGAAGAGAAACTTTGCTTAGAAAAATGTGTCCATTTCTTCATCCCTTGTTGTATTGCTCTGGCTGCTGCTTTTGAATCTCATAGTTCACATCTGTATTTCTTTGCTTGAAGATTTATTTTAGTGCATCCTTAAAACATTTCTTCAGGCCTCTTTGCTTTCATTACTCTACTTTGTCACTGTACAGCTGTTGCTTGGGTATCCTACCATAGTTTATTCAAGTGACTTAACAGGCAAATAACTTTTTTCCCAAGTGTTTGATTACAAATCAAATACAGCTGATGCATATTCTTTTATTATTAAGATTTGTTTTGGGGAGAAGAGGGCAGTCTTATATTAAAATAGTCTTAGCCAGTAGTTTTCTGTCTGAGGTATGGGTCAGCCTTCTTAGGTATTGCATAAGGTCTGGTGGTTCATGTATGCATCAAATATGTCCTGTACAGCATACAGATAACAGTGCACATATGTGCATATACTACATATACTATTTTTTTTATATTTGTAAATGCTACTGTGAATGATACTTTGCAGAATTCATAGTACTACTTGACATTTATTTTTCAGACAAGACATACTAAGTATTCAGGGTAGGGTAAAAGTAGGTTTATAGTTTGTATGGAAAATAGCATAATAATTAACAAATAATAAAAATAAACTCTGTTTTTCATGTACTCACAACTGTAAACTTACTTTTGCCCCATCCTGTAGCTGTTAATGTGGCAAATTTAGAAAATTATTGTTGAAAGACATTTATATGCAAAAACAATGAGAACTATAACTTTAATCCATTTAGTCTGGCTTTGCAATACTGCCTTAATTTAAATGGATCTCTGCAGTTATATGAAAATCTGCCTATTTTTTAAAAAGTTGAAACATAGATTATAATAACTTGTTAATCTGATTACTTAATTGTATTCTTTGACTATAAACAGTTTTGTTTACATATAATGTACTTTCTTTGTATATGTTAAACTGGTAAAGATCATAATACTTTGCTACCTTTTTTTGTAGACTTTAGTAAGTCTTTTGTATATGAATTTTTCACACTGTTCAGTATTTAAGAGCAATGAAAATGTTTTTATTGTGTATATTAGAATAATAAACATGAGTGGATTAAAGGTAAAGAAGCTATAATATGAAATGTAAATAAAGCTATGGTAATGATACAGAAAGAATACCTTCTTCACTGTCTCTTCCAACATACGTAAAAGAAAACAAAATACATATTTTTTAGACAAATGGAAACAACATTTAAAAAGCCAAAGTGGACTATCTTGTAAATATGATGAGAATTAACATATAGTTAATAACAGTTAAATATAGTTAGACTCTGTGTTTAGTATGTTACATTGTAGATTATGCCACTTAATTTTCATGAAAGCTTTTGTGAAGTAAGTACAATTTTATACCGATTCATGTGTAGGATAGTTGCCTGTGTAGATAAGGAAACTAAAGCTCTGAGAGATTAATAATAACCTTTCTGACACTGTCACCAAGCTGATACATGGCAGAGCCAGAACTCAAACTCAGATCTCCATAATGACAACATGTTTTTTACTGTAGCACTGTATTGCCTCTTGTGCTATAAAGTTAAATATTAATTAGATGTCTATGTTTATGGAGTTTTACAAATTGCATACTATTATAGGAAGCAATGGATTAGTAAAATATTCAGTTGGCACTTCAGATGCTAAAACTTGATTTTTTTCCCTCCAAAGCCAGATGGTCTCTGAGCTACTTATCTACTTAATTTCTCTAAATTTCTTTATTTTAATGACATGTAATATGATTTATTCTATGAAATGATTGATTTATTAAAATTTTGCTTAAAAGGTATTGTAGAAGAAAGTAAAGTATATCATTTGATCAGTAAATATTTTATCAAATGCCTACTTTAAAGTAGGTATTATGCTATATTTATTAGATACAGGAACTTGATAGAAGATACTGATGATAGAGAAGGTTATAAAACCAAATGTACAAAGGTATCACAGATTCTCTTAATTGTCTGAATGGTTTACTCATAATAAAGGAGATTGTTTAATTTCCTTGGCACTTCCCTTCAATTTTCCACGTTTTTGTTTTTAAATATTCTGTTTTGAAGTCTGAAATTCTGAAACAGTTCAAAATGCTTTTGAAATTTTACAATATTTTAAGGTGTTTATACACAAATAATATAAAAATTAAGTGTTTCATAGTTTTACAATAATATGAAGTTGAATTTGAAATTCAAGTATTGAGATTTTACATTTGAGAGAAAAGTTCTAGATATTTAACAAAACATAAATACTTTTTGAATATTTTAATCATGGCTGTTTACTGTTAAAATGACTTATAATCATATAATTTTAAGGCTTTCATTATATCGTTGTTCCTTAAAAACATCCTCTTATTTCCTGTTTTGGTCTACATGCTTCAGTCTGTATTGACTAAATTGGGGATTCTTAAATGAAGGAGCATAACAATGAAATTGTTTAAAGTTTTTGTATATTTTATGTTATTTTTTAACGTGGGAGAGAGATCATAGCTTTCATAAAATACTGAAATTAGTTCATTTAGCTGCAAAGGTTAATGATCACTACTACAATTTGTAAAGATTATTGAAAGTATTTTGAGTATTACAGGTTTTGTATTATGTTCTGTGTCTGTCATAGTGCCTTGTAAATGTTTAATAATGCACGGATTCATGGTTCTTATTCAGCTTCTGGAGAGCTCATTCTTCTTAACTCCTTAAATCTTATTTTTGCACTATTTCTATCTTCAGCTGTTTTTCGGGTGCTGTTCTCCTACCTAAGCTTTCTGTCCACCAATCAAACCAAATCCTCTATTTTTATTTTGGAGCCCAAGTCAGAATTTATTTGTACCTAAATTTTTATCATCGGTAGTGATTTTCCTCATTATGATGGGTTTTCAACATTGATATGTACTTTTATTTTAATTATCATGCTTTGTGTTATGCAGCATATGTTCTCTGTTTCTGGTATAAAATGTGACTAACATGATTATTGAAATTGGTTTTCTATGTGGTTTCTGAAACCAGTTTATTTTATTATTGCTAATGTACGTATTTTATCTCCTCAACTTTTTGGTTGGTTAATCATTTCTGTATATTATGAATCTTCTTACACATAGAGGAAAAATGTTAAGACTAGTAAACACCTTTATACCTTTACCATAGATTCAGGAATTAACAATATATTGTATTTGCTTTACCTACAGTGTGTTTATTTTTTTCTGAATGACTTGAAAAATATATCATGAACTCGGCCTCCCAAAATTTTAGCATGCATTTACTAATAATAAGGACATTAGCTTTTCTAACTATGATACCATTGTTAGTTTTAAGAAAATTAACAATTTTATATCACTTAATATCTTCCTCACTTCAGTTTTATGATATCCTGAAATAGGAACCCTGGTGTTTGTTTTTATATAGTACATAACTCCTAGTATGGTGTTGGCATTCACTAGGCACTTAAAAATGTTTGATTCAGTGGTGGTTTTTCACATATTGCCATCAGTATTTAAGATTTAGGACCAACCTAAAAGATTATCTCTGTAGTTCAGTATTTTCGAGGCAGAGATTGAGATGCAGAACTGTTCTGTTTCAGAGCTGTGGTTGGAATCAAGGTCTCTTTTCTCTCATTGTAGTGCTCTTGTTATCATTATCAAAATTACCATTCCTAACTTTTGCCTTGTTAAAGTATGTGTTCAATCTGGGGGCTCCATGGGTCCTGTTTTACAAAGGGGAAGCATTGTTTTTTGCACATTTTTGTTAATAATTCATGTATATGTGTGTGTTAAAATTTATATTTAATAAGATTACATTAATATTACTTATCACCTACTATTTCTAGGTTTCTTAAACATTATGCTTTATAAATTGGAGGTTCTTAACTGAATTTATTTTATAATTTTGGTAAACTGTTAGTCTTATTTTTCTGCATTTACATCTATATATTATAGTATTTCCTTTGTAATTAAGATTAAATCTGTATCTTTTAAAATTGTAATTTCTCTGGATAGTTTTGTTGTATGGTTTACCTGGTTTCAATTAGGTTTTCTTTAAAATAAGATTTTAAATACATAAAAGTTCAAAAACAACAATTTGATTTTTTTTCTATTATATGTTTTCATCTTTTAGAATTTTGCTGTACATGCATGATATATTTATTTTAATTAAGAAGGAAGGCTTTGCTAAATGAACTTAATTAGAATAAAGAAAATAGGCTTTGATTATCTAAAAAATTAACAATTTCAAGCTTTAAAAATGATCTTTATTAGTGTATACAAATATGATGGAGTTTTTTATAACTTATAAACTATGTGTTTTCCTAGTTAATATTATAGAATACCAGTTTATATTTTATATCACATTTTAAATGTTTCTGCATTCATGAAGTTTAGTAAATATGTTCAACTTCTTAGAAAAGAAGTAAAAGCAAAAGCTGTATTTGGTATTAAGAATTTGTATAATATAAAATTTAAAGTTTAAGTAACTTAGTATTGTTCTCTGAAAAGTATTATATTTCTGACTTACATTTTCTTTCTTATCACAGTAAATCAAGAGGAGTTCATTGCTATTATGACTGGTGACATTTAAAGAATTACAAGGAAAATACTAAGAATGTTGCCGTTTTCATCTTATATTCTATTTTTGTGCTTGGAGGCATGTGGAAAAAAAACCAGCTTAGTTCTTTTTTCCAAATGGACCAAAAATAAGCATCTTATGTATTCCTATTTTACTACTGTTAAGTTTCTTTATATGAAAAGTATTGGTAGCATTCTAATAGCTCATAGCTTTGTAATTAAATATAGCTTTTATATATAAAGTTTAAAAAATTGAATCATGTGGTACACATTATGTGAGCATTTTTTATTTGGCATTAGTCACTTTCATTTTATGCACATGTTTTTTTTCTGACTTTCATTAATAAAATGTTTATTTTATTAGTATTTTAAAGTTTTCTAATTTTCTGTTTTATTTTGATTCCAGATATTTATTAGCTTTCAATAGTATTTTTCTTAAATCTTTTCTCTTTATATTACTGGTTTCAGAAACAAAACTGAAATACAGATCGCAATAGAGTAGTGTATTTTTCCACTACAAGTTTGACATTTTATATTTTCTTACAAGATGAGGATGCAATATAAACATAATGCCTTTTTTAAGAGTCATGAGTGTCAGTTTGGAGGACAAAAGTGTTGTGCATATAGATCCACATCTTCGTGTATTGTGTTCTGGTGTCTTAACGTAAGTTAGGAGAGTTATATATGGATATTTCCTTCTTAAACTAATTGAATACAGTTTGAATCATCTAACTTCTTGACAAAATGAAAGATTTAAATTTTGGAATTTTGGTTTGTTAAGATAATTATTCTATTAAACATCACAGTGATGCAAATAGAAAACTAAGCCACAGAAGTCATTTAAGGCTATGTTTTACCTGTTTAAAGGAACATTCTGTGATTCGCGGGAAGACAGTAAAGACAGACTCTGCAGGTATTGGTGGGCTGGCTCTTCTTCCTGTTGAAGGTTGTGAGGGGGAGACAAGTGGTTGAGGGAAGTAGGTAAGTCATTAGGGAAATGATATTTATACCAATCTTCCACTAACAATCCAGTTTCTGATGGTATGGGCTTTCCAGGAGGAAAGTTGAGTTGTCTATTCCAGTTATCTTTCCCCAGATTTCTTATTTTAAATGTAAAGAAGAGTAATAGTATGAGGCACTTTAAATATTGTGAATCTCCTAGAGTGTTACCTAAAGAGTTATCAAATAGAAATTTAACAAAATCAGTAGAAAGTAATGTAGCAGTGGTGACATTTCAAGAGTTATCTAGATAACAAGTTAATTGTATACCATATTAAAATTTAATTTTGAATATGAAATCATTGTTTATAGTAGTACAATATCCATGGCAACAAATAAACTTAGAAATTTAAAAGGTTTTATCAGCCTTAGTGATAAAATGCCTTCTGTGTCTTGATCACAAAATATCTGGATTTCCAGGAAGTTGAAGAATTAAAAAAGTGAAGAACAAAGAGCAAATAAAAATAAATTGAGGCTTGCTAGTCTTCTACCACTTTATTGGAACAAATAATCCAAGCTACTTTTTGTTACTTACAGAGATAACTTCTTTTTTTTAAATTTTATTATTGTTATTATTTTTAAAGATTTTATTTATTTATTTTTAGAGAGGAAGGGAAGGAGAGAGGGAGAGAAATGTCAGTGTATGGTTGCCTCTCGTGAGTCCCCTCCTGGGAACTGGTCTACAACCCAGGCATGTGCCCTGACTGGGGATCCAACCGCGATCCTGTGGTTCGCAGACCCGCGCTCAATCTACTGAGGTACACCAGCCAGGGCAGAGATAACTTCTTTATTCTTAATGTTAATACTTCTTGGGATACTAGCAGTTTGCTCCTATTGGTTGAGGGAAGTGTGCTTACACTTCCTGAGTAGTTTATGGTTGTGGACAGTTTCTCCTACAGAAAGGTATGAATTATGCTCAAGTTTTTTCCAATGTTAATGATAAGTAACTGAAGAGTTGCAAGGCCAATAAGATTGCTTAGTAGGTGTGGCAAGAAAAATAAAGCGAATTTCCTGTAAAAAAGAACACGGAGTTGAGTATTAGTCATACTTATGATTATAGTTGTATTATGCAGTGGCATTTCATAATGTAAGAAAATATCTGTTTCTTGTCCTGCATGGTGTGGCTCAGTGGGTTTGTCCATCATCCTGCAAATCAAAAGGTTGCTGGTTCAATTCCCCAGTCAGGGCACATGTCTGGGTTTTGGGCCAGGTTTCCAATTGGAGGTACATGAGAGGCAACTGATTGATGTTTCTTTTCCTCTTTCTCCCTCTCTTGCCCTTTCTCTAAAAATAAATAAAATCTTTTTTTTTTAAAGAAAATACCTGTTTCTTGCTATACTTGCCTAGTACCTTGCTGTTTGATGTGGTAAGCTTTGAGTGTTTGACGTTTGTCAGCCAAGATCATTATGTTCACCTTCCTTACACACCAACAAAGTCTACTTTCTAAAGAAGCTATGTCCCTCTTAGCAGCTCTTAGATTAGTGTCTGGGAGTAGGTAGTTGTGATGGAGGGGAAATAAAAAAACATTTGTTAGTTGCTCTATATGTGGTAGGTTCTGTTCTAGGCTTACTTAATCCTTTATTGTAGGACATTTCATGCAGTGCTTGTAATGGGAGACTTTCATATTTATTGATGTGCTAGTGTTAAAGCCCTTCGGTTAGCAAACACCATGATGAGTATATTCTAGTTGTGTGACTGTGGCTTCAACTCCATTAACTGTCTATCTGGTGCTAGAGGCTGGGAGTAAATTCTCTTGGTTTACTAGTGATGTGTTTTCTTAAAAGATTTACAATGTTCTGAAAACCGAGGTGAAGAATACAGAATATTTTCAAAAATCACTTAAAATCTGTAATTACATTTAAATTACACAAGCAATGCATAAAGACATTTTATAAAGGAAAAAGTTTTTTTAAGCCCCTGTTCCCATTTCCATTTTTTTCTGAACAGTGTCAGTGTCAGGCTTCAGACAGGAACAATGAGCAAACAGGAAACAGCAAGATTCCACCTCCTGCCGTCCTGTTTCGCTCTTCTAGTCCTATTAGTGGAGCCTACAAAAATGCAGCTGGCAAAGGAGAAATGTAGTTTATACAGTCCCAATCCCAGTATTACACAGCTGAGTATAGAATAGTGGTTTGGAACTATGGGGAAAAAAGAGCTTAAAAACCAGCACAATTGACCATACATTTTGTCATCTGAACTCCAGGTTATTTGAATAAAGGTTGTGGGAGACTATTATATGGGGCAGCATGTAATTCAGGACTGTTTTGGGTGAACTGGGAGATATGGTTACTTGATTTCTGGAAATAGTAATCATTGTCATTTTAAGAAAGATTATTTCAATTTGTTTCCTTTGTGCTTATATGAAAGTATAAGATTTTTTGTATGAATATTGTATATATTCTGCTAAATTTTATAAAGGAAATATCTTTTTAAAGAATTAGTAACATTAAGTGCTGCTGTATTCCAGGCACACATAGGTGTTTGTGTGCATTATATATTTTAATCTTAATAACCTGGGGTAGATACAATTAGACGGTCTATTTTATACTCAAGAAAATCAAAGCTTAGAGAGTGTGACTAGTTCAAGGTAAGAGGAATTGGAACTGGAATTTTATCCTAAGCTTTCTGACTTTAGAGCCCACTCATAAGCACTAGATTTTACAATGACTTGTAGACTATTTCAAGGTGTAAGGGGTCAGACCTTTAAAAACAAAACCAAAAGGTAGAATCTGGAATTGAGAAGCTTAGCAGCACAAGCATTTATTAAACACGTATGCTTAATCTAGCATGCAGCATTCATTGTATTGTGTTATTCCATGTGAGTTAGTGTTTGGTGTCAGACTTCTGCAGCTAGTAATTTCAAATAGTCGATATGTTTCTATAGGCAGAGAAGCAACACATTGAAAAAGTAGATGTTTGGGAAAGAAGTGTTGTAAATTACAAATACAATATTAAGCATACATTGAGAAATATTGTAATGAGTAGTGAAGGCTCATAAAAAAAGGTATGCATTTTGAGAGTAAAATTTAGGAAAACATTTTTTTCCAATTAACCTTTGTGGAGAAGATTGTATTTTGGAGGATTGCTTGAATAAAGAAAGAACTCTTAAATTCTTAGTGAGGAATGGAAGGAAGTTTGGGTTTAGGAATATGATTGGTAAAAGGATGTGTGGGGGGATCTTTGTGGCACCAAGTCTAAGAGAAGGAGGGTTTATGGACTTGTATCTAATAGACTAAAGCAAATCTCTTGATAGCTTTCAGTGGAAGTGCATTGGACAGAGAGGGGATCTTTTTAACATTAGAGTGAATTATGCAGGGTTGGGGTTGCATTCAGGAATTCTTGGAATGAAATAAGGGAGTCATCTGGATGATAGCTTGGTTGGGTCTTGGAGACTTTGGTTAAACAGCCTAGGCTCATCCATTCGGTAGATAATAGGTAATTCATCTACATTTCCTGATTCTGAGTTCAGTCATCCGTCATCCTGTAGTTAAAGCATTCATTGGGAACTTCAAAAATCCTATGGAAGATTGCCAAGTTAAATCTAAAACTAGTGAAACAAATTCTCTGGTTTATGTAAGAACATGCTTACATTAGTTACTCCTGTGTACTCTAAATATTAAGTGTAATTATTAATACCTAACTGTCTAAAAATTTAAATTATGCTTTTCTTTAGAACTCTGGAAATCTGTATGTCTTGTGCTATTCTGAAACTTTGTAAAATGTTTTCATTATATAATTTTAAGATTGCTGACCTTTTATAGAATCAAATAGCAGTTACTCTGATTTTATACTTAATTAAAATATTTTAATGAGTTTTTATTATTGCATAATAGGAGAACTCAGGGTTGCTTAATAGAATCTTTGGAGTCAGACAGTTCTAATTTTAATATGCTTGGAACAGTTGTCAAACACTGTTCTCTGAAAAGAGTGATCTTTTTTCACTCTATGGCATTACTATAGACTATTTATTGACAGGGTCTTTCCAAAGTTCCCTGTAAGCCTGACAGCTAGGAAACATGTACTGTCATAGAACATAAAATTCTGGTGGCATATTGATGCAAGTTTCCTGATGATTGGCTCTTTAGAGTAAAAAAAAAATCACTCAACATATATCAGCTAATTGCTAGGTGAGAAAAATATTTCCAAATAATTTTTCTACCACTGAAGACCTTAAATTTAACAGGAGGTTAAAGATTTAGGCTTGGTTACTGAGGAGCAATCTTTCATTAAAAAATACTTTGCTGGTATTGAAAGTTCATATGTTTAAAGTCTCTGCCAAGCAGGTAGACTTCACCATACTTAAGCAAGGTCCACAATTTCCTTTTTC